TTTATAGACATTAGCCTCCACTAAGTACCTTACTGACTTTTATTTTTTTTTATTTCCTCCTGTCACATTTTCATGCATTGAGTGTTTTGTCAATTTATGATGAGTACAAATTGTAATTGTCTTATTCTAAATAAAATACTTCAAACTAAAGTGTGTGTGTGTGTGTGTGCGCACGTGCACACATGTGTGCAAGTTTGTGTAAGTCTGCACACATGTACACACATGGCTAGAGGAGAATATCTGTTCTGTCACTGTCTCATATTTCCTTGGGTTAGGCATTATCACTAAACCGGGAACTTGATGAATTTTCAGTTAGTTTGAGTGATTAACATATTCCTGGGAATTTGTCTGTCTCCACCCTCTGCTGCCCACTCCCGGATATGCAAGTACTGGTGAGAGGTCCTGACTTTTACATAGGTCATGGGGATTTAAACTTAGGTTCCCATGTTCATGTAATAAGTGCTCTTACCCATTGATCGAAGTTTCCAATACCTGTAGAATTTGTCAAATGCAGACTTGGAAACTACGTTCAAGTATCAATAGCAAATAAAAGCCTCCAGTTCTGTGGTATTGTTTTTAGCTTTTTAACCTTTCTCTTTAGCCCCTGATATGGCCTATATTGTTTATTAGCCAGTTTAGTTCATTCTTTTCTGCTCAGTAGTTATATATTCCCTCCCCTCTCCAAATGCTTTTTATTATTAAATGATTGTTTCCTAAAGATTGTTTAATTTTAATTGCCATCTACTCTGATTATCACTCAATGGTGAAACAGATTGACAGTTCCCACTAAAACTCCAGCTTAGATTGTTTAAATTTTTTACCTATTTATGTGTGTGTGCCCGCATGTATATTTGTGCACCACTTGAAGACAGAATCAGATCTCATGGAACTGAAGTTACAGGGGTTTGTGTGATGTCTGATGTGGGTGCTGAGAAGAAGATGGGCTCTTTATAAGACCAGTAAGAACTCTTAACCCCTATGTCATCTCTTCAGCCCCTTCAGTCAAACAATGTTATTGGCAATGTTTAAAGGTTGTCCTTTTTCTATTAAGCGTTTATCTCTAAGACTGGAGAGATGGCTCAGTTGATTTATTATTTGTTTTACAAGGCCCTGAATTTAGTCTCCAACATTCATGCCCATTCTTTTTAAATTTTTTGTGAACTTGTTACAAGTTAGAGTTATCTGTGAAGAGAGAACCTCAGGTGAGGAATTGTTGCCATTGTAGGGAGTCTATGGGATGTTTCCTTGATTGAGGGTTGATGTGAAAGGACCCAACCGATTGCAGGTGTGCCACCTCCAGGTAGGTGGCCCATGCTTTATTAATTAATTTTTCTGTGTGTGAAGTGCTGGGTAGTAAAGCTGGTGCCTCGTTTACACTAAGAGAGTGCTCGACCACTAAGCTAAAGTCCAACTCTTGTAGTTTGAGATTTCATAATTTGTGATCAGTAGTTGGTAAATGTTCAAATAAATAAGCCCAGTTCTTTTCTATTTTCTTAATTTGTGTGTGTGTGAATGGTAGGTGTGGTGAGTTAGGGGTGTGTGTGCTTGTGTGTGTGTGTGTCTGTGTGTGCATGCACATGTGTGGCTTACCTGAGAACTTTGGGAATTAAATTTGGGGATCTTCCATCACACTTCACATTATTTTTTGAGATAAGGTCTCTCACTGCACCTGGAGCTCACCAGTTGAGTAGGCTTTCAAGCCAGGGACTTCCCAGAATTCTTCTGACCTGACTCCCTAGTGCTACAGTTATAGGCACAAGCTACTGAATACCACTTTTTACACAGGTGCTGAGGATCCAAACTCAGGTCTTCATGATTGCATATCTAATACTTTACCCACAGAGTCATTTTGCCACCTAAGCCTATTGTAACTGTCTGAGACCCTCATCTCTCAGTGTGTGGATAGCTCTATTCCAGATGTAAGTAGGCAGTTTCAGAGGATTCACAGTCCCCTAAAGGCCTCCTTTGGATCTGTGAACCTGGCTAAGAATGCCTCTTCCAGAGCAAATTAACTAATCTTATGGGTTAGTTGAGATGGATGAATTAGCTGGCAGAATGCAGGTAGATGAGGGAACCTTGGATAGATTAAGAAACTGCTTTCAACAGTGCCCAAAGATCTCCTGAAGAACATGAAAGAGTCTCTTCCCTAATTCAGAACATTTTGTTAGATTTGCTTCCATTCTTATTGAATTACCAGGATCCTGCAAAGTCTCTTTAATATTCATGTCCCAAAGAGAGCTTGGAATCTCCTTCTCATTTGTTTTTCTGACCACTCTGAGAAATAATGTTTAAATCAAAGGCAGAATTTCACACTAATTCCTTTATATCCACTTAAGCAAAGATGGTTTCAAATCTCTATCAGTTCATTCTGAAGATTTCTTGAGCATCTACTTTTGGCCTTGTCCTAGACTTAAGTGAATAAGTAAGATAAAAAGGAAGGTCCCGTAGATAACTGCATTTCTACAGAGTAGCTAAGGCTTGGTTTTTATTGGGGATTGGAAAGAATGCACTATTCGCAACTGGAAATAAAGAATAGATGGTTGTAGAAATCCTTAAAGTATCAAATTTATTGATTTTTCTCCCTGTTGTTGTTTAACCCAGGCTGAACACACACTTACTGCTCTACTTTAGCCTCCTCAGTGCTGGGACTGTGTCACACGTTTCACATCAAGGTCTATGTAAATAGGAATGTAGACTTTTAAGAAAGTAGAAAAATTGGCAATGAATTCAAAGATAAGGGTTTGAGTGTATATCCACCAGTACTAGTTGTATTTGGAGAACGCTGCTGTAAGTGAGAGCTTGTCTCAATACCCATATAATTGAGGGCAATTGAGGAAGACAGCAAATGTAAACACTGGGTCTCTATATGTACCCCTGCACCCAAACATATACAAACAAACAGATGTATGAATTAATAACTGAGTTTAAATCTAGCAGATGCCCAAATTTGAGACCAAAACTGAGCAATTTCAGATGTTGGTGAACTTGCTAGTTAGCTTTCCTTCATCCTCACTACCCAGACGAGGTCTCCAGCACTGGCTCAGCTAAAACACCCAATGCACCCTGAAACAAGGAGCTGGGGCTATTTCCCTGCTCTCAGGACCTCATTCACACTCACATGGCCAGGGACAGCACTCTTATTTTGCTGAGGCAAGGTAGGTGCAGGGCCTTCTATCTCTTGTTTGCCTTAGCAGGTATATAAGAAGGGGTGGTGTCAGATCTCCTGCTCTGTTGTGTGTGTGTGTGTTTCTTGTTTCTTCTTTTTACTTAAAGAGGGGAATCCCAGATGAGAGAACAGTAATCAACAACCACAGGCAATTTTAAATACTTATAACTATAGTAAAGATTGGCTTGGCAACTCATGACAAGTGCAATAGCAGCACCAGGATAGTGATCAACCATTTTGGGGGGTGGCAGTGTTAAGTTCCAATTCACAAAATGAAACCAATACCTAAAGCAATTATTAGGCTAAGAAACAACAGCTCTGGTCAAATATAGGGAAGAGCCTACTACTACTAATTTGCTAAATGGCCATAAAGTTCAGCTGACTCCTAATGGCTTATTATTATTCTCATAGATCAATATAGCATTCTACTCTCATTTGAGAGAGCCTCTATTTGCATTAGATAGTGATTAGCATGGAGACTCACAGATGGCCAAGGTGCAGAGAAGAGAGAGCATGATATTCAATCAACCTCAAACAGAATTTTCATGCTATTGCGGTGGTTAGAATGAGAACAGTTCCTGTAGGTTCACTTGTTTGAATAATTGGTGTCCCGTTAGTGGTATTGTCTGAGGAAGTTTAACCAGTGTGACACTGTTGGAGGAAGTGTGTCAATAATATCAGACTTTGAGGTTTAAAAAACTTGATACCATTCTCTATATTCCATGTATTTTGTTTACAGAGAATTATCCCATGTTTCACTGCTTAGAGAGAGCCAGCCCATATATTTTTACAGTCTCCATCATTCTGACAGCTCTAAGATATTCCTAACTTATTCAGTACCTCATTTTGTGTTGCTTGAATTAGACTGAAATTAAATTATTTTGTAATCTTTTTCATCTTAATGCAGTTTTTTAAGTCCTTTGAATTCTTCTGCATTCAGAATAAAGTAGTTGTTGGCCTTTTAGACATTTTTTTCATCCTGAGTTTACATGTATTTCTGTTTCTTTTAATTGTCCAAGGGTGGAATTCAATTATCACTAAAATTTTCTTTGATTTTTACAGTATTAAGTAAGGAATGAAACTATTTCAACTACCCTTTTAGAATTAAAATGATTATTACGTAAACAGATGGCAGGTCAAATCTCAATGAATAAGCGTAGAGTGTTCATCTGTAAATAAAACATTTATAGCACAGTGCTGCCTCAAACTGCAGAATAGGGGTTAATGGAAGTTATGTAAAAATCAGAGGTGGGGAGGACTGCTGTAAAAGATAATTTTTGGCTTGGGAAAATGTATTGGTTTTAGAAATGTGAAAAACTAAAATAATAATAATAATTTAATGCTTGTTTCTTTTTAAATCAGGTCATAATGTGAAACTTTTGAGAAATATTTTGTGACCCATAAAGCAGATCTTCTAGACTATTTTCTTATGTTATTTAAATAGTAGTTGTTTTTAATGTTTTTGAAATCTGAATAATTACTAGTTTACTGGACACAATCATACAGTATAAAGATTTTATTTGTTCTCTGTGTTCACTTGATTATAACTGGTGAACACATTGCTAAGGATGACCTCCTGTCAAGCATAATTTGTTATAGAACCAAACAAGCAAAGCAATACAATGTGAACATCAACAACAGCAGCAGATCTGAATAGCAGGATTATAGTTAGGAGGTCTGATTTAATAAAGAGAACAATAAATATTTGCTTACAGACAGCCCCATATGTATCAGTAGCATGCAATATACATATATACTATTGATATACACATCGCTACATAACATCGAAAGGTTATTTGCCATTTGATGCTTTAAGTTAGAAGTACCTTCCAGAAACTGTGTTATGGAAAACAGTTATGATTTCAGTCTATTTCCCTCGTTCTCTGTGATACGGTGACACAATCTCTTGATGGCATTCTTCATCTCCCTGTTTCTGAGTGTGTAAATTAGGGGGTTGAGCATGGGGGCAATGATAGTGTAAAAGAGAGCAAATATTTTGTCTTCTGGTAATGTCGTTGCTGGTCGAATGTAAATAAAGAGTAGAGGAGCAAAGAAAAGGACAACTACAGTAACGTGGGAACTGCAAGTGGAAAGGGCTTTGCGACGATTCTCTGCAGAGTAAGACCGGACAGTATATATGATCACAGCGTATGATATCAACAAGACCACAAAAGTCACTAAGCCCATCAGGCCAGAGTTAGCAATAACCAAGAAACCAATATTTCTGGTGTCAGCACAAGCCAGTTTGAGCAGAGGGTACACATCACAGAAGTAGTGATCTATTTCATTTGGGCCACAGTAAGGTAAGAACACTGCCAGGAGAAACTGACCAAAGGAATGCAGAAATCCCCCAGCACAGGAAGCGGCAATCATTGCATCACATCTTTGCCTGTTCATAATGATGGTGTAGTGCAGGGGTTTGCAAATGGCCACGTAACGATCATAGGCCATTCCCGTGAGGATAAAGACCTCAATGCCCCCAAAGAAGTGCATGGTGAAGAGCTGTGTCATGCAGCCATTGTAGGAAATTGACTTTCTTGTTGCTACTAAGTTGATGATCAGCTTGGGGGTCACAGTGGAAGTGTAACACAGATCTGAAAATGAGAGGTAACTCAGAAAGAAATACATGGGTTGATTGATAAGGTGACTTCGTGTGACAGAAATCATGATAAGTAGGTTCCCGAATAAAATTGCAATGTAACAAAGTAAAAACAGGACAAAACAAAGAGCTTGTATTTCTTTTGTCTGAGAAAGTCCTAGAAGAATAAATTCAGTGATATTAGTCCTATAGTCCATGATCCGCAAATGTCTGTATCAATCTGAAATAAATTTAAACATGTGTGAAATACATTTAGCACAATGCTGCAAATTGTCCCCTTTCAGGAATCAGATTAGATTAAAGTTATATAGAGTTTGAATAATGTTAAATTTTCATCTTCATTTAAGAAAAAATTCCAACGGTGTCTTTTTTTGTAACATCTTGAAAACAGGAATAGCTGCTAAATAGTCTTACATATTTGAGATGAATATTAATGTTGTAGAATAAAACATATTTGTATTGGGATTCTATAGTGATGCATTGTCATACAAAAATGAATAGGATACCACCAAAGAACTATAGAATAGCCATTTCTTTAGAATCCCAATCCAGTTTACTTTTTTTCTGTTCATTTTGAGAAGAGATTCAGAAACAAATGATTCAATGTGAACACACTTACATGTAAATTCATGAAGTATAATGCTTGTGTACTGCCACAAATAAAATATGTTGAGTCACACACTCTATATACAAATATATGTGAATGATGGGCTTGTGTATTTGGAATCACTGCATAGTTATATAGGGTTTCTTTTTTTACGTAACTGAAAAATCTGTTTCTAGTCTCCATAATTTGAACTGCTATATTTAGGAATTTGTATTTGTATAATAAAGGATTATTTTTGACTTACAGAAGAAATATCAATGCAAGAAAAAAATTCTATATTTAATAGGGTCAACTATGTAACTACAACCTACCTGTTAAGAAAATAGTAACTGTTGTTTGTATTTTAGCATCTACCCAAGTCTTAATAACACAGTTCAGTTACATTTTACTTAACAATACAAGTTACTCAACTTTTCTAATTGACCCTTTGTTGTAGTTTATTTTTGTGTTGCTGTGATAAAACACGGCCAAAAGCCAATTTGAGAAGGAAAGGGGTTATTTGTCTTACAGACAACATTCCTTGATGAATGCCAACCCAAGGCCAGAAACTGGAGGCTGTACGTGAAACAGAGAGCATAGAAATCTGTTCAGCTGCCAGTTTCCAGGCTCAAATACAGCCAGCCTAGGGATGGAATTGCCCCCCTCAGCCTGGGACCTCTAGATCAACGAGCAAACAAGAAAATGCCATATGGACATCTCACAGGTAAATTATATGTAGGTGATTCTTCAACTCAGGTTCCCTTTTGCCAGGTGTGTCAATTTGACAATGGGACTAGCCATCACACCAACCTAGAAGTGAGAATTCTTAGTTTCCAGCAATCTCAGGTTCAGAATTTCAAACTGCATTTTTCAGTTTTCTGAAAATAATTTTCTCCCAATTATTTTATCTACACTACCTACTTTTTATCGTCTTGAAGTAAAGTAATCCAGACATCATGAGTATTTCCGTGTTAACTATTTCCTAGCTTTACTTTCTTTCGTGATGCTAAAGATAGAACGCAAGTTACACATGCACTGCATAGCAATTCTACCCACACAGTCTCACTTTAATATGCATAAACACCTTTGAATTGTGGACTTTTAAATATAATTTTATTAAATTTATTAAAAGTATTAATATAAGAAAAATAATCTAGAAGCAAACTTTTGTTCAGTCTGCTTGTTCATACAAGAAATTCACTATGTTTTATGCAAAGGGGAACATTATAAAATATTTTATAATAGTTGCACATAACATCAGTTCCAGTAAGTTTGAGATTCATTGCCCTTCCATTTAAGTTGTCATTTAATTTGTGTAAAGATTAAGCATGTGTGAATCTTTTCAGAGTGTTACAGGGTTGGTGGTAAGTGCCAATACACCCTTCCTGGAATCCATTACACTAGACAGTGAGGAAAAAATTTTTTTTGCTGTCACATGAAATTTTAAGTTCAGTTAACAGATGTACTTTAGGCTTCCACATTATTACCAAAGATTTAAAAATGTGTAATGCTCTATTTTATCCTCTTCTAAAACTCAGATTCTTCTGACCAAGAATGAATTATTAATTCTTAACATTCTACATGATCTGGATCAAGACTCTTTTGAGATTTTCTTCATTTTGTATAGGATAATCTTCTACCTGTTCTTATCCACTGCAGCTCTTTGAGATTCTTCAAAGCATCATACTAAAACAATGTTTAAAAATATCTAAGGCCTGTTTTATTATAACAATAACAGAAAACAATCTGAAGAATTTAAAACTTTTAAAGTGAAGATTATAAGATCATTATTTTGTATATTTTAGATACATAGAATTGATTTTAAAGGAATAATTGTATACTTGAGTACAACTGAACGTATTTGAGACATGCTAAAGAAGATATAATTTAGTTTACTTTGCACCTTATACAAAAGTCAAATAATCAAATAAATTAAAATATAAACTAATATTCTAGAAAATATTTGATTTTATTATGCACCCCATTTTAATCATCCTTTAGAATAATGTGTGTGTGAATGTGTGTATATATCTGTGGTGTTCGTAAATTCAGCAAGTCACAAAGAAGGCAAGCAAAAAGGAAAATTATTTGAGGAGGGTTTCTGCAGGGAGAGGTAGGGAGTAAGAGGGAATAACAGGATGATAAATATAATAACAATACTATACACATATCTATCGATGTATTTAATCTATATCACATGTATAAGCTATTTTATCATTACTCAGTAAATAATACTGAAGTTTGTCTCTTTCATCTGCCTGTATTATTTAATAATTCCCTGAACTTAAATAGGTGACATTCTTTTGTGCAGTTCTGCTTAGGTGTAAGTCAAAACGAGGACAAACCTTGATTTTCAGAAATCAATTCTGAACTCATTATTACCTTTATTTTTACATTGGTAGAGAGGGATTTGAAGCTAGGACTAATGACTGGTTGCATTTCTGTAAACAAATCAAAGTAGATTTGCAAAGACAACATCTACTTTTCCTCCTTACCAGTGACGCCTAACTTTTCTGATCCTAAAATTATGACATTTCCTTTTTCCCAGAATGTAAAGCTTCCTTACCTGCATAAAGTAAGGAATGTCATTGGTCAGTATGTCCTACCACAATGACTCCAACTCTTTACACACTACCTTCATGCCACAGAATGAGAAATCATGAGATCAGAGATAGTTTAAATTCCACAGCTTTCACTGTTTTTTTTTTGCAACTGTACTAGGATGAAGTTGGACATTATGACATTTCCTGTCTAACTTTTTTTCAATTTTATCATAATTCCTATAGTTGACAAAATGTTTCATTATTTACTTATCACAATATTATGTATACTCAGAATCACTGTGCCCTTTGGTGCTACAACTAACTGCTTTATATGGATTGTTTATTTGTTGAATGTTAAATTCCATAACTTGGTTCTGTATGGAAATTCTATCTTTATGAGTATTAGAGCCATCATGTTAGTTTTCCTTTACAACAACATAATTGAAAGCAGAACAGAATAAAACAAAAGTAGACTAAATGAATCAATTTTGTATTGAATCTTGATTATCTGACTTTGGGACTAATTATACAAAGTTTCTGAATCTAATATTTTTGTCTGTCGTGAAAGGAAAATAAATCTCACATTCTGTTAATTTGCATAAAATTAATCTTTCAATCACTGCTTACTCTGTGGTAGGTATTATGAAAGGTTGTCAAGTCTCCAAATCACAAAGGGTAGACGAAGATTGCTATTTAGGAAGAAAAACAGCAATTTATCTTTGTTTGTTAGCAAGATTTTTAAACAGATAAGAAATTTTGCAGGCTTTCATAAATTAGCTACAATACTAAAATGTAATCAGTTACTCACTGGTTACCTCACTTGGCTTCACTGAATACTTACAATGTAATATACATATCCTCTGGTTATATTAAATGAGTTACAAAACAAAATGGAGTCTTCAAACATGGAAAGGGAGTGATAGGTAAAGAGGATTAGAAAGGTGTTAGAAAAAATGGGAAGAGAATGTAGTCAGAATATGTATGATATTGTCAAAGAACTAACATAAAACTTATACATATGAAACTGTCAAAAAACTAACATAATAAATTTTTTTTCTTTTATTCAACTTTAAACAAATTGTCCCTAAAATTTTAAATAAAGAATAGAAACATCATAAATAATGATTTCATTTATGTTTTAAAAATACATTATAAAAGCATGATTTATATTACTTCATGCAGAATTTTTACTGAGAGCTGATATTGAAAATTAATTTAATTTGCCATCTACTTGATTTAAATTCTATGCACCATGATACAGAGCTACTATTAATTTGGAATCACCCATTAAGTGTAATGGATATGTGTTATTAAATTTTCACTTACAAGTAATTTTGTATAACCTGAAGATAAAACTTACTTGTTTTGAAGGAAAAGTCTTATGGTATGTTTCCAAAACAAACTTGACTCTTTCCAGCTTTAGTTAATATAACTGAAGAGGTAAGGAAGCTGATGTCATGTGTATTGGCAAATATTCACAGCTCTCTTCCAATATCACATTTACTTTAGTCCCGAGGGGAAGTGAAAACATGTATTTCATGGTTTCTGTTCACTTACAAACTAATTTTCTTGGCAGATACAGTGCTGACAGAAATGCAGCACAGTATCACTGTTTCTAGAGTAGCTCACTGAGATCAGTTGACCAAGGTTAAGCAGAACTTTTATTTTCAACTTTGTTCAGAAGTCTAAAAAGGGCTAGCATCAATGCAACCATCATTTGAGTATATCAGAAAGCTACAATAAAATCTCCTTTCATTGTGGTGAGGAGGTAGTCATTGGGAAACTGATGTTTGTAAAGAAAATTTATAATATTTAGATATTGAACAGCAATAAAAATAATATTAATATGATAGAAATGGAAACTCGATGTGGCCAATTTATGCAAAATATAAGTGCTAACTTTATCTACAGTTTTTGAATTTTCCCACAAATCCAATAAAGCAAATACTATTATCTAATGGAAACTTAAAATTTAACACCATTGCTTAACTTCATCCCCCACTCCATTTCTCTCTCTCTCTCTCTCTCTCTCTCTCTCTGTCTCTCTCTCTCTTTGTCTCTCTCTCTC